AGGACAAGCCACAAACGAGAGCAGATCTCAAACGAGGACAGATCTCAAACGAGAACGAAGCCTCAAACGAGGACAAGCCTCAAACGAGGACAGGTCTCAAACGAGGACAGGTCTCATAAAAGGACAAGATTCAAATGAGGACAGGTCTTAAACGAGTACATGTCTCAGACGTGGGTAGGTTTCAAATTTGGACAAGCCTCAAACGATAACAAATCTCAAACAAGGACAGGTGTCAATCGAGGACAGGTCTCAAAGGACGACAGGTACTAAACGAGGACAAGCCTCAAACTAGGACAAGGCTCAAACGAGAGCAGGTCTCAAACGAGGACAAGCCTTAAGTCTCAAATGAGGACAAGCCTCAAACGAGGACAGATCTCAAACGAGAACAGAGCTCAAGCGATGACAGGTCTCAGACGTGGGCAGGGTTCAAATGAGGACAAGCCTCAAACGAGGACAAACCTCAAACAAGGACAGGTCTCAAACGAGGACAGGTCTCAAAGGACGACAGGTCCCAAACGAGTACAAGCCTCAAACGAGGGCAGGTCTCAAATGAGGACAGGTTTTAAACGAGTACAGGTCTCAATAGAGGACAGGCCTCAAACAAGGACATGTCTCAAACGAGGACAGGTCTCAAACGAGGACAGGTCTCAAACGAGGACAGGTCCCAAATGAGGGTAGGTCTCAAACGGGGACAAGCCTCAGACGGGGACAGGTGTCAAACGAGGACAGACATCGATGCGCTGCTCGGTACTGTAAAAGTCGGTCTCCTCTCGGCTGACTATACGATACCAAGACGTTTACGTTAATATGACCATACGTTAAAAAAATTAAAATGCAAAATGTTAAAATTAGGTTTAGCTTCAGCCCTTGGTAGTGAGCAAAAGAGTAGGGGATTTTAGGCTGAGACTATTGTCTATATGCTCCGCTCTAATCACTCACTACTTCGGTCTAGATTTATTTATGTTTTAGTTAGTAAGACTAGATATCATTTCATTGGACACATATTTTACATTACACGCCTCGAAACAATTATCTACTCAAAAAAACCAATAAACCCTAGCTCCACTTCCCATGTAAGGCGTAGACGGGCACATCTAGTTGGCTGGCTAGGAGGAATCAAAACCAGGTTGTCCTAAATTCTAACAACTCTGACCCTGTCCTTTACTCAGGGGATTATCTTGCTCTGAGATTAATATCGAATTATACCATAGGTTTGCACCAACAACCATTTCATGCCTGAGACCCTCTCTCATGGTACTCTTGTTCATTAGAGATTCCCAAAGTGTCATTTTCAGGTGTCGGATTTGTATTATTCCTATATTATGTACAATTCTAATTTCAGTGGAAAAACCAATCTATATTTGGAAAACCACCTAATTGTCCACAGTAGTCCCATACTCTACTGAGTACAAAACGTTAAATGTATTACAGTTTTATAAGTATAAACGTCAATACGTTAATATATTTATAATCTACGATAACTGTGCAACTACTATTAGGAACCCGCTATTTTTACAGTACAGTGTGCCACTAATAGTGGTGCAAACTTGGCTGTCGTGTATACTGACACATGTATGCTACTCCAGATATCCGTTGGCCACTCACACGCGAGTACAGTGTCATATAGTATTTGCTGTACATTGTTTATCGTGCAGTATTTGTCGTATAGCATTTATCGTATCGTAATTGTCGTACCGATTGCACGAGTTTTTATTCGAAAAGGCGGGTTCTCTCTCTCGACTTATATTTCCAATAATACATAGTTCATATTTTTGAAGAAAAAAATTCACATACATACGAGTGTATGTCATCAGTGTATGTGTATTTTTAAAAATATTACTACATTATTCACTGATTATTGATCAAAAATATTACTACATTATTCACTGATTATTGACAACAACATGAGATTTGGATAAAAAAAGAGGCAAACAAAAATTTGATAAGTAGGGTTGAAGACCTGGGAGCCCTATAGTTCTCTCCCCAGAGAGAGAATACATACACTGGTACAGTAACGTACGTACGCGTATGTTAAGATGCTTTTTTCTTTTTTAAGCTTCCAAGCATCGACTCATAGCCTTCTAAATTATACATTGACTTCGATCTAATTTGTGGTTTAATTGATTGCATATTTTTTGGCTCAGTTATTGGCGGTAAAAAGCATTTATCGGTTGGTAGGCAATATCCCTGATTACCATAACCCGCACCCAGAACAACACTACAGAATAAATGCATTGGATGCTCGCACCCAACAGGCGTCGTATTCATTTATAGGTTATCATAAAACACATGCTATTTCACTTCGTTTCAGAGTATAGCAAACCACACGAGAATTCATACAGCAGTATTCTGGAATTTCGGATACATTCGTGCTGTAAGTATATAAATTTTGAGTTCTCCGTATAAAAAAGAGGACAAAAAAAGAGGTAAACAATAAAAGTGGAAGACAAAAAAGGAGGTTTTTAAATCTAAAAATGTACACAAAAGACATATTTAATTTCGTATTGACATGTCAACGTTGATGAACACCTAAGGTACACATCGGCGAACAGGTACACATCGGAAATATGACTTTCGCAAGTATTTATCGTCCAGGGCTGTTTGCATCTAAGAGGTTTATTGTCACTGGCGGTGGGTCTGGCATCGGAAGGTGCATTGCACACGAGCTGGCTTCTCTCGGGGCCTCTGTTTCGCTGGTAAATAAGTCTCGACACGTGTGCAGGTAGTAGATTGTACTTCTCACTGTCGTCCCTACGACTTTGTAGTCACATATGTATATGCACATATCACACACTCCATCTTGTAGAATATGAACATCAGTTACAGAAAAAAGATGATTGTGAGTGTTACTTTGTCCGTTTGTACGCATGACTCTTACGAAGTTATGCGGGCAATTTACCAATAACTTGCAAGCGACATAGATAGGCGAGCCACAATAGAACAGCAGTGATCAATCAAATAAGCCCCGGATAATCACTGTGTGCTCGAAGTGTCCCCCCGCGTTGTTGCTAATTTATTGCACGTGTTGTCATTCTTGCTACATCCTTTTGGTCTGATCAGATCGGACGCAGCCAGCATAAATTGGAAAAAACTGCCAAGGAAATAGCCGACGATAATGGTAATGATATTGTGTCATGGCACACGTGCGATATCCGCGACGAAGACAGGGTCAAGCAGGTCATGGGCGAAATACTGCAGCAGGGGTCTATAGCAGGACTAGTAAACAATGCCGGGGGACAGTTTCCCGCTCCGCTGGCAAATATTTCAAAAAAGGCACGTACCAGTGTATAAATGTGTGCCACGAAATGTGTGAACACCTATCTTTGCATTGTACATTCTTGCATAAAAATTTCGATCATTGTTGGTTATATCTACTCAAATATGTATAAGGTGCCGCATGTATATAACTTCGTATATTCGGG